ACGTGGAAACTTCGGCAAAATCTTCTGAACTATCTATCTGCGTGCCACATCTTGACTTGGCAATATTTTTTCACTCTTTCTCACAAAAACATTCTAGATCTGTCAAATTGTAAAGGCATCTCCTGTGCACAGCCCGCTTCAGGTCACCCCACAGATTTTTAGCTGGATTCAGGGCTCTGGCTAGGCCATTCAAAAACACTGATCTTCTTTTGGTTAAGCCGTTCCTTTGTTGATTCAGATGTATGCTTTGGGTCATTGTCGTGCTGAAAGGTGATTTTTTTTTTTTTCACCAAACATACCTTTTGGAATTATGCAGTTATTACATATTTTGGAATGGGTCTCATCAGACCATAACACATTTTGCCACATGGTTTGGGGTGATTTAGTTGAGCTTGGATGTATTTTGTGAGAAGGGGCTTCTGTCTATAGCCACCCTACCATATAGCCCAGACATGTGAAGAATATGAGAGATTGTTGTCACATGCAGAGAGTAATCAGATATGTCAGATATTCCTGCAGCTCCTTTAATGTTGCCATTTGTCTCTTGGCAGCCTCCCTGGTAAGTTTTTTTTTATCTTGGGCCTTTTGTCAGTTTTGCAGGGCATCCTGTTCTAGGTAATATCATTGTGCTGCTCCATTTTCTCCACTTGCTGATAATGTCCGTCACAGTGTTCCCTGGTACATATAATGTTTTGAATTTTTTTTTGCTCTGTCAGCTCTTTGCACACCACATCCCCAATCATAAAAGGGTGTGCACACTTATGCAACCAGGTTATTGTAAAAAAAAAAATTATTTTTCCCTGAAATGTTTCTGATTGTTTTTCACTTAATTTTTGCACTTTGTAATTTCACATTGAGGCTGGGAAAAGTCCTGACATGATTTATCTTGGTTTAATTTTTTTCACCACAAAAACCTGCCATTTTAACAGGGGTGTGTAGAGTTTTTATATCCACTGTATGCTATTAATGTCATTATGATTTATGTAATTTATGTTAAAATGACCAACATGACTGTTTGAAAAGAAACTAATTTATTATTATTAATATATGCCTGCTAGATATTATCATACACGTATTGGAAGAAATCAGAATAATTGGTAACCCCTAACCAAATGGAGCTCTTCCCTTTCTGGCCTGTTTGTACTTGTGAGGTCACTTCTAAGAAGAGTTCAGAATCACATACTGAGGCCAAAATACCAGTATACATGTGTTGAACGTAAACACGGATTTTGGCAATATTGCATCCATTTCCAAGTGTATCCAGTCAAACAGATGCAATTATTCACACTAGCCACAGGAAAAGTATGTTCAGGTTGTTTGAGATTCACAAACTCTACTAACAAATGACAGTGTAAAACACCCTCTATGTGCTCACAGAAAGACATTTTATTAGGAAAAATGGCTCCTGTGTCTGTGTCATTTCTTAGTAGATCGCCTGCTAAACTGGCCACACCCACCACCACAAATACAAATTCTTGAAACTTATAGCATTACTGCTTCTCTCAGTAAATATGCTCCTAGAATGAATGTGATTCTGGCTAGATAGCTACTATTACTGTTTTTTAGCTATGCCCATTTTTTATAGATAACAGTATCTGAAATCACATAACCAAGTTTATTTGAGATTGCTTAACAGATGATTTATACATGCAGCTGGTTAATCTAAGGCTAATCTTGTAGCTTTATACTTTCATTACCGGTTAGCAACATGAGCTTTTTACTCCAGTCCAAAAACTAAAGAAGCAAACAAGTGAGTTTAATTTTTTTGGCCAAACTATTTCCTAAAAGTGTAAACACATCAGAAAAACTAGTGCAACCTCAGGACTGTAAATTAGGAATTCTCACAGTTGGTCCAGCAGTCATGCTGTTGTGTTGCCCTTCATACAAGTGGCTGAAGGTGGAATGCTGGACAGCTTCCAAGAAATCATTGGCTTCACTCAGAGAGAGCAGCTCTGGAGGTTAGAGCAGCCATGGCTGTGGGTTTAAGCCAGACAGGTACAGGATGCTGTTGACAGGGCTAGTGCAACAACTCAGGGAGCATTGCAGAGCCTAATGAGCAGACATGTCACAACATCTCAAACTGTTGCTTCTGTGATCTGACAGGCCCTCTGTTCTCTGTGTGGTGAGGTGAGGTCAAGCTTGCTCACTTTCGCTGCTGTCTTCAACAGCATGTGCATGTTTGAGTGTGTGAAAAGGGGGACAACAGAGATAAACATATTGGGGGGGAGGGGGGAGCAGAGACTGATACAAACACAGCATGCCATAAGAGATTTGAAGTGATTTAGGAAGCTATGCTGAAAACAAACAGAACAAATATGAAAGCACACAGGAAACAAGAAAACACTTTCGGTCTTGACAACTTATTTTGAATAAAGCTCACTCCTGGGTGTAGGAATTATAAAACCGGAGGGTCTTGTCCTTTAAAAGCTAGGCTATTTATCTAGTCTGTTGTACTAGACAGTAGAGAACAATAATTCTCATGGTTATTTAGTGAAGAGAATAATATAGCTCAGAAGACATCAAGCCTCAGCTATTAGAGAGCTAATCACTGACTGGGTTCATTTGAGGTTTGCTTAAAATGAGCTATCAGACAACACTAGTGGGGCTGTAATGTAGAGCAGGCAACTGAGGAGTCTGGAGGAGGTACAGCTTCATTGCCTTTTCTACCTCTCCTCTTATTTACAACATAATTACAAAAACGAAAGTCAAACTTTTTTTCCCATTTCTACCTAATTCAATTATGAGTCCAGCAAAATAAAAATGCAGCACAAGAGCCATTATACAATGGCGTAAGTATGCATTTTTACAGTGCAGATTAAGGCATTCCTTAGTCTCAGAATATTACCATAACCCTGTGCGTGAAATGTCAGCATTCTTTCTGCTTTTTTCCTTCACTCACCATGAGACGAGTGTTGGTAATTTACCTCAGGAAGGTACAGACCACAGCACTATTCATACTTCACGTGATCATAACTCATTTTTTGTCAAGATAAGGGAATCACTTTTTTTTCTCATTTCCAGGACTCATCTTCAAGACAACACAGCCACCTGGTAGGTTAATAAGTAACTTCATGGGAAGTCTTTTTGTCCTCACACATACTGTGTGTGTCACAGCTTGAGCTTATGTTTTGTTTATAGTTTATTTTGTCACCTCTCCCGAGATGATGGAATACCAGCATCATCAGAGCTCATGTCCCACATCGGGAGAATCAGAGAAACACAAGCTCTGGAACCTTGTCCTTATCGCTCTGGGGAACTGGGTATGTTCTTGACAGTTCTTCTTCATAAAATGTGGCAGCCTCATCTGGCTGTATTTGAGAATGTCAAGCAAACTATAGTTTAATATGTCTAATGGTATCATGGCAGGGTGGTACAGTGGGTAAGGTTAACAACCCCCAGCTCTAGGGTCCCTGGTTTGATCCTGAGCTCAGGTTGCTGTCTGTACGGCGTTTTGCATGTGCAACACATAGCATGTGGATTTCCACTGGGTTCACTGGTTTCCTCCCACCTCCCAGAAACATGCCAGTAGGTGGATCATCTCTGCTACGTTGCCCTTAGGTGTGAATGTGTGTGCACGGAGCCCTGCGATAGATTGCTGTCCCATCTATGATGTACTACTCCATGCTCATTTCTTAGGCTATGATCCAAATCCAAAGAGACCCTGACCAGTTTAAAGCAATTACTGTAAGATGAATGAATGAATGATGGCATCAAAGCAAAAAGCATGGCAAGTGATATTTAGCATCTTTTGAAGAGTGATCCCATGTACAGGAAACTTGAAAGGGCCAGCATGGGTGCAGATTTTCAGCGATGAACATTGCTTTATCTACACCACAGTGCTTTCACAATTGAAGAAATTGCAGAACACTCAAGAGATGGAGTTACTAATGTGTTTTCATCTATGGCAAAAGGCCTTGTTCTTTTCTTTAATGGTGTCACTAAAGTTGTGTGGGTGCCACTAAATCTGGAAGAGAGGATTGAGAGTGCTCTAATGGCAGCAGCATTCCTCACTTACAGTCTAAGGTATTTTAAACCCATATGTTACTGTGCAAAATTATTAATAGAGCAGCCTTCATGCATCATTCAAATGCAATTAAGGGACTGGTGTCTATGCAAAGAACCCAGGAAATGCAGTTATGAGAATGGGAATGGGCATATTTTCAGTTCTTTATCTGGAAATGTGTGAAATTTGGAGTATTTTTCCTTATGCTGCCTGTCTATAAATTGATTTTGTGAGTTTACCTGTGAGGTCTGAGAGGTTGGCAGTGGATGAAGTATACTGCACTCTGGTGAAGGCAATGAAATGAATTTTGCCAGAGAAAAAGACCAGAGAGCCATAGGGCTGCTTTCACCTCATCTGTGCTGTATATAGCAATTTCCATTCAACTTCTGTGCAAAATAACAACAAGCTGGTGGGGAAGAGGAGCTGCAATAAGAAAAGGAATAGAGTTCTGCAGCAAAAAAGAGAAAATGCAGTGAAAGGAGCAGTGTTCAAGCTTGGTAAATGGGCTGAGTGCAAATGAGAGATGAGAACTGTTTTGTTTTGGGGAGAAACAACAATTTTTGAGCTGTTTCTGTTTCACCAACTGATGAAAACAATTCAGATTAGATACACGCTAACTTGAGATTTTTTTTTTTTTTTTTTTTTTGCTGAAAAGTAAGCAAATAAATCAAGAAAAAACTTGTGATAAATTTCAATGTAGCCTACCTGGAAAATAAACAAGTTAGTAGTAAAATATCTCTATCCACACCAGAAAAGGTACTTTAAATAAATTGCCTGTATATTTTACAGTAATGTACTGGCAACAGGATTGCCAATATTGTACTGTAAAAATTTACAATAAACAACTATAAACACATTTACAGTAAAGTACTGTAATATCCTACATAGATACCACATAACCCAGTACATTTGCTCCGTTGGCTAATGCTTTAAAAAAGAAAGAAAAAGGCTGAGCTAAAGGTTAAGGGTCTTGCTCAAGGACCCAAACATGGTAGATTGGTGCTGCTGGAAATTGAACCCACAACTTTCTGTCTGTAACTCAAAGCCTTAACCAATGAGCCACGACAACATGCTCAACTAGCTTACATTGATTCACTCACCACTGAATTAACTCGCACTAAAAGACTGCATTGAATCAGTGTAAGCTAGTTGAACTTGTGAAGGCTCAGTGGTTAAACTTGTTGTGGTGGCTTTGTGTTACAGATGAGAAAAAGAAAATCCCACCACTGAGAAACCACCATGATCCTTGAACAGGACCCTTAACCTTCAGCTAAGTTGTATCCTGCCTCAACTGTAAGCTGCTTACTTTAAAATCATCATCCTAATGAGCAAATGTACTGGATTAGGTAGTTTATTATTATTATTTAATACTGTTTGAGATATTACAGTACTTCACAGTAAATATGATTACAGTTGTTTGTTACTCTCTTGCCAATAAATTACTGTCAAATTTACAGTCAGTTTTTACAGTGTAGGGATCAACATTTCTATATAAAAAGACAACATTTTTATAGATGCATTTTGTCTAACCTTAGCAATCATGAATAGTTATGCTCCAGTAATGGTTGTTGTCTACAGTTGTGTGGTCGACTACTTACAAAGGCTATGAGTAGCCTTGGAAAAATTATGTAAACTTATGTTTTTTTTCTAGAAGAGGATGCAGATTTCAGAGTCCTTGGGGAGATGCTTGCCAGGATCGATTGTTAAATAAGATTTCTTAGAATCCTAACAAATTGTTTGCATAATGGCACTGATTTAGATAATATATTAGTACTTGAAAAGAAAAAGGCAAAATCTGAATTTGAATATGCTACACACAAATATCTGCCTTTAATTACATAATCAAATTATGAAAACAAGTAATGAATAATTATGATTCTCTATGTTTTAGATCTGGATTGAGATTGGAGTGTGATTAATATCTAGGTTTTTTGGTAGGGTAAAAAACCTAGAATAAGATATAAAACGTCTAAGTAAAGAAAGAGGTGGGTTAGGTCTCCCTTGCATATGACAATAGTATTACGCTGCCCAATTAAAGTTATTATTCTGCTGAAGTTCCCCAACATACTCATCAAGATGGATAGATATAAAAGGTGCAATGATGGAAGAAATTCCATTAGCTGCCTTGATTGCTGATAACAAATTAAGGAATAGAATGGTTGATGAAACAATTCCATGGATTAACTTATTAAAAATTTGGCATGAGACAGAGAAATTATGTGGTTTGGAAGATGCTACTTGCATTTTAAGATGTGCTTTTGACGCCGAATCTGGGCTAGACAAGGAATTTCAAATTATTACGCATTTTTCAGCAAGGCTAGACTCCAAAGTTTTGAATCTATAAAGGAGAAATCAAAGTGATTTCTACAGATACCTCCAAGTACACCCTGATGCCCTACTTCTAGTTGGAGTTCTCATCAGTTGGAAATCACTTGCTGCTGCTGAGGATGGCCCCACACGGACAGCCTAAAGATATATGAGATTAATGTGGATGGTACCACTTAGAAAAGATGAAGATGGCTTTGGTCTGCAATTGATACAAACAGTTTTCATTTTGTCGTTGGCTTAGGACTACAATTGCTATGATAGCTTTAGGACAGCAATTTGCCACGAACAGTTTTGCACTCAAGTCTCCATCAGTGAACAGTTGATAACTTCAACAATATAGACTTCATGTTAAAATGAATTAATATATTAGAATTATAATGAATTTCCTGGTTACACAACTGCACTTTTTGTCCATGTAGGACACAATTATCAAAGGGAATTATTTACAGCACTATCTGGTTTCACCCAGATGAGGATGGGTTCCCTTTTGAGTCTGGTTCCTCTCATGGTTTCGTCCTCATATCGTCTCAGGGAGATTTTCCTTGCCGCCGTAGCCTCTGGCTTGCTCATTACGGATACATTTATGGATAAATTTAAAAGTTATATCCTGAATTTATATATTTCTGTAAAGCTGCTTTGTGACAATGTCCATTGTTAAAAGCACTATTCAAATAAAACTGAACTGAATCGAACTAAATGAACAAGACCATCTAATAACCTTCCCTGGCTTGTCACTGACCCAAGCCACTGACTGTGAAGGCACAGTTAAACTGATGGACAACATCTGCATTTCTTTTTCCAATGTCTCTAAGCACCAATAGGCTTGTACTGATTTCTTCAGCAGACCAACACAGGACCCTCAAGTAACTTAATTCAGCTTGCTCTCAAACAAAGCTGATTTATTGGCACAAGCTCAATAAATAGTGACCGCAGGTTCACGTCGCTTCCTCTGTGAAGTAACAAATGCACTGAGAGGAAGAAGCACTGTTAGCTTTAGTGGCTCATTCTTTAACTTCAGCACATCACTGAGGATTTCTATTCCTATATATTCAGTTCATGTGTTTCCATCCTGGAATATTTTACTGTTTTACAGACAGCCTGATGCAGGGGAAACAGGCCCTGTCCCTGTGGACACTCTCTGATTACCTCATAAATATTTCAGCTGCCTAGTAGTAATTTAGTCTATGCATTATGCAGGAATCCTAAACACCTCTTCTTAAATAATCGCTGAGCACAACTTAGGGAAACTTAGGGAAATCCTCTGGGAATAGCATGCCTGGTTTATTTTTTTTAACTGTGAAAAAAAGAAGCAAAGAAAGAAAGAAAGAAAGAAAGAAAGAACAGCAAGTGGGATAAAATGTCAGGAGTCCAATTGCTCATTTGAATTCACCCTTATCTCTTTCATAAATAGATTGACTAGAATGAGGAAGTGTAATGTCGGAGCAAATCTGGTCAAGCATTTGTGCTACTAACCTATTAATATACAAATAACCTACTTGCCATTATGAGTAATTAATACTACACAAAAAAGTGCTCATAAAAGAGCTCTACCAACAGTCAAGAAAAGCTAACCGAAATATTTAATAGCAACAAAATTATATTAAATATCTATCTATCTATACAATATAAATATACATATATAAAATAATATTATTTATATTATAAACAACACACACATACATATATATACATATACATAAAAGCTGAAATGAACCCTGTAGGTACCAAAAGACATGGCTTGTGGTGAATGGGATGGGATTTGAAACACAGATATCAATAATGAGCCCCTACTCTGACTTTTACAATGTAATTTACATTGTGAAGCAGTTAGCATACAGATGTCAGTGATTATTGGCACACATGCAGTTTAATAGATGGAGCGTCCCTTTGGCTTTTATTAGTTAACATCATTCAAGCGTTGATTGTGTAACTGCCGCGTTGAGGGATTGATAATCATGGCCCATGATGATGAAGCCTTGGTGCCTTTTAACACAGTGGAGCACAGCTGTGCCCTCTGACCTCAAAGCATGTGCACAATTACACGAGTGGCCCTTTACCAGGACTTTTTCTTGCTTCGTCTGTATTGTGATGTTATGGATTTGCTGAGATGGAGCTGCTTCAATAATATGCCGTGTGTCTGTATACGTCGTTTGGGCTCCTAGCTTTGCTTGAAACACCCATTTTTGCAAGAATTTGCACAAATTAAGAAATGTAATATTACAAGTGTCTCAGGTTAGGGCATTATGGCAAGGTTAGCAGTTTTTTCTAACCGTTTTATTTGTATAAAATTGCAAGGAAAGTTTCCCTTCCTCTAATTCATGAAACTTCTTTGCCAGAGCATATTAAAGATGACCTTTTTTTTTTTTTTTTACCTTGCTCATTCATATCCCTAGTGATACTGTGCATAATTCATCAGCAGCAATCACAAACGTCTTGTATTTACATAATCTTCCATGATGCAAAATGCAATATCCGTAAACATCTTCTACTTTTTCAGGACATAACCATGCATGCACGAGTTAGGAATAATCTAACGTCAAACATCATGAAGTGTAAATGCTCGGTCTGTTTCAGTCTGAACTACACCACGTTACAGAGGAAAAATCCATTATATATTCTGATTTGCATTTCACAGTGTTTTACCCAGTCTGTATTATCACGGACCAACTTTAGGCTTGTTTCATTCCTGCATGAGTTTTATGCTAAGTCAGGAAGTAATGTATATGTAAAAATGATGTTGAGAGTAGCCAGTTTAAAACTAATGTTCTGTAGCATTCATACTGCACCATAAAAGAAAAAAAAAAAAAAAACAAATAAAAAAAAAAAAAAGATCAACTGTGCACTTGTGAAAGGTGAAAATTTGGTTTTCAATGAGTTTATATCCATGAAGTGACAAGAGACCAAAGACCATATGATCAGAGGTAAGTCCTGTTAGATTTAAACCAGGCCCTAGTTCTCATTAATGACAGCTGAGAGATTACCACAGAAGATCAATCTATATCCTGCTCTTTCAGAGTAGAGCTCTTATGTGTGTGTGTGTGTGGGTTGCACCACTGTTTGCATGCTCTGCACAGCTGTTCCTAGTCACAGAGACACAGCACTGCCTTATACATCAGTGTAGTCATCTTGGGGCCTACAATCTTCATTAAGCCAAAAGACGCTAAAGTTGCTCGATAAGAAGGACAGAGTTTATGGAAATGGATTCATGCACCACTTGAGGCCTCACTTGCTTTGCCACACACTGGTCGTGTTATTGTAATCAATCTCCTACGATCTAACAAGAAAATTACAAGTGTGCCAAGAGTGACGAAAGGACAAAATAAGCTACATGCTACATTATCCCCTCAAGATTGCACTGTTGCATTGTCTTTGCTATAAATCAGCATCATCAGCAGTACTCAGCTGCAACATCAGAACAGGCTTGCCAATCCACCTTCCTTCATATTTTCTTTTTCCTTCACACAACCCTTGATGTTGAGCTGTGATCTTTGCACTCATTTGTTCACTCACCAATCTCGCAGCTCTCTCCATAGTATCCCAGAGGGCAGAGGCAGCTGTACCCTTCGCCTTCCCTCAAGCAGCTGCCCCCATGCAGACACGGGTTTGTCTGGCAAGGCTCCTCCTCTGCTGGACAGAGAAAACGAAGGAAAAATAACATTACTAAGAGAATAATGTGAAGAAATTGAAAAATGCTGAATTAGTTTCAGGAATTGACCAATCCATGCCTCCCCCAACTTCCCT